TTCTGGAGCAACGAGGGGTTAAGTGTCTTGCTCAGGGACACAACGGTTTTATCCACTGCTCCATCACCAACCCACAAATTCACACAACCCCAGATTCAGGTCTCTAGGGTCCTGGACTCTATGTGGGGATTCATCCCGCTTCTGTCAAGACTTAATTTTCACATTAACATTTATTTTTACTTCATTCACATTTCTCTCCTGTTTGAAATAACAGAAATAGTTTAAAATGAAACTAAAATGAAATTATTTGACACAACTGATTTAGTACATTTTGCTAGCTCATATCATAAATGTTGCTCTTTGATACAGACCGGATATAAAAACTCTGAAGCTGGTGTTGATCCAGTTACTCTTCACTGATCCGTCTGTTTCTGAAGAGGTGAGCAATTCAGGGATCTCACTGTGAGACTAATTTATTTTAGACACAGTTTTGGACGTTTTAACTTTCTTTTTTCAATGAAGCAGACTTTGATTATATTCCACATCAATCAGTTAACTACTCACTACCTTTTAACCTCTTGCTACTCTATGTGACTGACTGCCTCTAATAACCAATAAACAGCAAAGAATTAATGACCTGACAGCCACTCATTCACTAAGTTTAGAGAGTGATTCTCTAAATAGAGAAAAATGTTGCTGAAAAAAATTATCTACATTTATGTCTCCCACACCTCCATCACACATGTTGTGTGTTTCCAGGCTGGTGTTGCATCTAAACAACATCCTTTCTCGGATTTGCATTCAAGAGAATCTCCTGTTTGTAATCAGACGTTTTTGTTTCTGGACAGTTTAACAACAAGCTCATTTTAAACGAGATTTGCATGGAGGGCAGCGAGTGGAGTTCAGGCTTACATCTGGTGTATTCAAAACAAGCTGAGGGGAGAGACGGATATGGTTTGGCTCTGGATTGAGCGTACGGCCACATTTGCATTGGATTTTCCTCAAAATGTAATTTGTGAGTGGAATTTTACCAACAGTGTAGGAGCTGGGGTTTATCTGGGTTTATCTGGGCTCAGGTCAGCTATGCAAACTATTTTACTCTCTGCTGCACGGGTTAGCTCGTCCTCCTGGCTCAGGCTGTCTGTTTTGTGTCTTTATGCAGATGACACTCATTTTATAATGTGTGCAAAAAGAGCAAACCTGCTCTTCACTAACAAGTTGTTTTAGCTTTAATCAAACACTTTTCAAAAATGTATTTAAAAGATAATGTTATTCTTATACTTCCTGACTATTGCTTCAAAATATTACCCTAGCCATTATTTAAAACAGCCAGGCTTAATGTATTTCTGTGGGGATTTGGTCAATCAGTAAGAAGGAAATACAAGTTACTCATAGTTTTCTACAGTGTTTGTTCTGTTCATTTCATGACATTTTATCATAGTGTAGTTTTTTGTACTTTTAATTGCAGCAGTTGTTTGTATTTTTGAAATGTTTTAGTCTTTAAAAAAAGTTATAGCGCTGTATAAATGAAGATGATGAGTAACATAAAGAAACACTTTTTAAACATAAATTCCACATATAAATTCCATAAAAAGGGAAAGGCAGCAACTGATGTTAGCAGCAGGCTCTATTTTACTATGAAAACAAATCTTAACATATAATTATACAACACAACAAGATAATTATAATAACGAATGAATCGTTTTTCTTATTTATCTTTTTTTGTTCCCCTGAAAAAGAAAAGGCCATTTGAAGTGCAGCTGTATCACACATCACTGTGTGTGGCTCACAATTGACTGTGACATCCTGTGAATGAAGAGTCTACAGCCATGCCATACCATCTTAGGGCGTACTCACACTAGGCCCGGATGCCTTGTACCGTGCCTGAGCATGATTGACGAACACCGCTGCACAAATCTGTCCAATACAAATGTCAATGCCGTGGACTGACCTTAAAAAAAGTTATTAGCAAACATGGAAGGAGCCTAGTTAGTAAGGAGAGCTATGTTAACGTTAGATCTCAGCTTGGTTGTTGAGATAAAGTGTGTACCGTGCAGTACATCGCTGGAAGTCAATTTAGACTGTCATTCTGTGGGAAACGCTGCACTCTCTCTCTCCAAGAGAGCGGCACAGTGGAGTTTGTGTCAGGATTCCATTTTACATGGTTAGCGATCACACTGCAGGCTTACCGTGCTGGAGTCCAGCTTAATCGTGCACAGCACAGAGCGATCACACTGGTTAAATGAACCGGACTTTGGGGGTTAAACGTTCTCGGGCATGGTACGGATCTCCTCGTGTGAGTACACTCTTAGTTTAGCATGCTAGTATGCTAGCATTTCCTAATTAGCACAAACACGAATTACAGCCGAGGCTGATGGGAATGTCAATAGTTTTGGAGATATTCTATCATAAACACAGCCTGTATAAAAAACAGACGCCAGGCTGATGTCAACCGTTGCTTTGTGGACTATCGCATTTCAGCCATATTGGATTGTTAGAACCAGAAGTGATCATATATGGACAAGAGTGCTGAGCTGAGGAGGGATTTGCATTGCTACGCCTGACAGGTCACAAGGTAGCCCCGCCCTAAAGCCTCCCCTGCTTCCTGGTCTCTGTTCCTCTAAATGGGACCATAATTTACTAAATGAACATCATGCTGTGTTGAAGAAGACTTGAAACTAGCGACTGAGACCAGAAACTCATCAGGAAAGTGTTTACTGAGGGAATAAATCAGCTGACAAGTAGAAACATTTTCTCAGAGACTTCTATACAATCACACTTCTTTCTGCAGCCGGTGGAGTCGCCCCCTGCTGGCTGCTGGAGAGAACGCAGGTTAAAGGCTCTTTAGTAATGGCTTCACGTTTCATACCTGATGGTGGCACTAGATGAAAGGATAGTCACCACACGTACCCCTTCTGATGACAATTTTTTCGTCACGCGAGCCTTCACAAACTTGCAGACCTGGAAAGTATAATCCTTGACTTAGACGTTCAGGTGAAGTCTTTTCTGTCCTCGGCTGATGCAGAGATCCTCGTTCACGCATTTGATGAATGTAACGTCTTGTTGTCCTGCAGCTGGAATCTCAACTAAAACTGCAACATCTTTGCATATTTCACCAGTTTCAGCTTCATCTGCTTCTAATCCCTGTCTGATTGGACATTAGAGTGCTTCTGATGAATTATAAAACCGTAAATGGGCTCGCTCCTCCTTATATCTTTGATCTCATTAAACTTTATATCCTGTGCTCTCTGCTCTCAGAATACCGGCTTCCTGTCTGTCTGTGGACGTCTGTTCCTATCACGCCCTTTTCTCTGGAATAACCTTCCTGCTGGCATCAGACAGTCTGACTCTGCTGAGGCATTCAAAGCTCAGCCGAAAACTCGTCTTTCATCCTTCCAAAGTCCAGGCCTTGTACCACTATACCTCTGGCGGATCATTTGTCAAGTTAGTCCATGCTTGTCCTGCCGACGAGAATCCAATTAACAGACTGCAAACATTTTGATATTGACTGTATTTGTCTAACCCTCTTTTCTGTTTTGCTTTGAGAGCTCACCAAAGATTAACTTCATTAGGCAGCATTTAAGCAAGACACCACTACTATGAATTCATTAAATTTCTCCATCTATCAGCATTACATTAAATTACAAACAAAAAATACTGAACAGAGTTTACTGTCCGAGCCGACATAACTGGCTTTATTTTATCAATCAGAAAGGTGACTTTAAGGATTGATTTTGTTCTTCATACACATTTTAGGCAAGGAAATTTTTGCTTTGAGAGCTCAGTTTTAATGGTTTTAATTCTGAATAAAGAATAAACATTTATAACAGTGTTTATGAATGACTTACTAATGTGTATTAATGTATGAACAATGGTTTATAAATGATGAATTCTGTATTTACTAATACTTAACTAACCCTTCATAGTGTTAGTTATTAAAAAGTGTTACAATTGCTCAGAGGTCACACGTCTCTGGAGCAACGAGGGGTTAAGTGTCTTGCTCAGGGACACATTAATGGATGTCACAGTGGCGAACTGAACCCGGGTCTCTCACATCAAAGGCATGAGTGTTATCCACTGCGCCATCACTGACCCCTGTTTCTTGCTGCTGATGAGCTGTTAGTGTGAAACATGAAGACTGTGTGTGAGAGTCTGCTGCCACCTGCTGGATTCACTCAGCAGCAGCTCCATCTGATCAATCATCTACATATTGATTATAGATCAGCATGCAGTGACACCCTGAACAGTCCGTCCTCAGTGTGAGACCAGCAGCTCATTTAAATAAGTTTTCTTCACACCTTTTTAAATTCATCAGAGCTGCTGAAGATTATTTTTATTGGTGATTAATCTGCTGATTATTTTATTTTAATGTCAGAGAGTCATGAACTCGACTATCCCAGTTTCCCAGAGTCCTGTGCGTCTCCAGAAGTCTTGTTTTTCCTGACCAGCAGCCCAAAACCCAAAGATATTCAAACAATACAGAACAGTTGTAAAGCTCCACCTGGAGGCTGGAACCAGCACTTTACTGTGTTTGTAAAACCACTGAGACCACTGACTGGTTATCAGCTGATCAGGAGTTTTGCACTGTTGGTCGAACAAAACAAGACTGTTGAAGAGCTTTTTAAAACTATTTCTTTTGTTTCAACATTTCAAAGAGGATAAATCAATGAACTGAACTGATAAAGAAAGTAATCTGCAGCTCTGCTGTTTAAACTTTGTCTACAGTAAACTACATATTTAAAATATATTTGTAGAAACTCAGAAGCATCAACGGTTGTTCCTGTAGTAGAAGTATTATTAGTAGTAGCTGATACTCTGCTACAGCACAGACTGATCAATACAACCTCTCAGAGACGGGTCACATGCTGACTGGAGGGTTGTTGTTGTTGTTGTTGTTGTTGTTGTCTCCACCAGGCGGCGGGGCTGAGCTGTGTGTTACAGGCAGAGGTGTTTATGATGCAGCTGACATCACGTGAAGGCAGCGCGCACACGCACACACACACACACACACACACACCCCTCTCCGGTTACCGGGACCGTGTCAGACGAGTTTCTATTTTCTCCATCTTTCCCTCTGACCCGGAACCAGAGAGAGAGAGAGAGAGAGAGAGAGAGAGGACTACACTCTCTCTCCATCACATCATCAGACTCCGCCTCGCGCTCTCCGGTCTGTACCGATCCGGTCACAACAGCTGACCACCGGCGGCTCTGCGGCCGGACCGAGCGGCAGCAGAACCACAACATGGCCCTGCAGCAGCTGCCCCCGTGCGTGATAGACTGCGGGACCGGGTGAGGACACACACACACACACACACACACACACACACACGAACACGCATGGATGCACACGCTGTAAAGTATGTGACGTCATATGTAGCGAGCTGCCTGTGTGCGTGAACGTCGTCATGTCTGTAGCGTGCGGGCCTGAGCGCGTTGTTTTGGTTGGCATTAAAGGGCCAGTTCACTCAATACAGACAATTAGTGGATCAGTAGAACAACAATCATTAACAAAGTTACTTTAAACCGTTCAGGACGGAAATTAAAGACCGATAACATTAAAGCAACATTATGTCCTGAAATAATAATATGTTCAAACACTAACAGGGAGGCCGTCTAACATCACCGCTCACTGCACCCGTTATTAGACTATGTAACGCTGAAACCTCTCAGGAGAACGCCTGAACACTAACACGACTCTTCAGCAAGCGTTAACAAACGCAGGTGGGACCAAACGCTGTTTTACTAGTCCCAAGTCCCAAGTCAAAACCGACCAACCAGTTCTCACTGCCAAGTCGTCACATATGGACACACGATGCCCTTAGCATCATAGTTGGACACACTAAAGGCAGGTGTAGGATATTTAACTGAAGAGTCAGAGGAAGGAGGTGTTTGGCGTGGACAAAAGGCCAGAAACCGGACTTTCAACCAGGAGACTGGTGTTCACTTCCTGTGTGAAACAAAAGTCAACACTGAATGTTTTTATTTAAGGTAGGTAACTTACGTAAGATAAGTCACAGAAGTAACATTATTTAAACCAAACCATGATCATTTCCTAAACTTAAACAAACTGCAGTGTTTCACAATGTTAACCACTAGTTTTATTTTGAAAGTCTAACCAGACATTGCATTTTCATTGTTGCCGACATGACCGCAGAGCCCGACATTTGCAAAAATGAGGCTAAAGGGTAGTTAGAGCGATAGATCTGTCATATGTGACGAGTTGGGATGAGAATTTGTTGGACAGACGAGTCTCAAGTCCTAAACTTTGAGTTGTGAGTCCTAAACAAGTCATAATGAGCTCCTCAGCAGATTTTATACAGTTTCATATTTTAAAACTCTTTCTGAATGAAACGTTAACCTGCACAGAAACAAAAGGCAGAAACAGTTTCACACAGCAAATGTTATTTCATTTCATGATTTCTTTGTGTTGATGCATAGTTTTTATTTATATCATAATTCAGCCTGGGTTTGAGGAGGGGATCAAGTCAGCTGGAGTCAGAAGGCTCAGGTCCAAGTGAAGTTAGCTGTTTGGAGCAGAGCGTCCGCTGGTCGAACGTTCTAACGTTCTAACTTGAGTGCTGAAGTGTTATCTGGACTTCAGGCACAGGAACATGAATATATAAATGATACTGGACTCAGCTGACAGGCGTTATCTCCACATGTAAATGTTTGACAGACAGCATCAGGAGCTGATCCGAGGTCAGTCCCTGGTCTATTCTGGTCTGAATGTGGGACAGCTGGAGGAAGTAGAACAGGAGCTGCAGCAGGAAAACAGGCAGTCGCTCTCATTATTCAGTTATTAGAGGAGACAGTAAGGAGACGGTCACACTGAGAGGACAGTTTGGAGACGGACACGTTTCACACGACTTTATCACACAGACGTTTCTCTGAAATGCAAATATGGAAACAGTCTGTGCACAGATCCAGATCCAAGAACAAAGAGTGTTTAATGTAGTAGTCTGAGGACGTCGTCACACATCAGTTTCTGAATTCAAACATATAAATCACATGTACTGAAGCAGTATGCAGCGTTGCATTGTGGTCCATGGAGGCTGTGTGTAAGCTGCTCTCTGGGTGTGAACACTTCACCGTGCTGCTTCAGGTACAGGTGAGATGAAATGTGAGCCTTCGTGCTGCCTGATGACCTAACTTCACGTGTTAAGTCCGTGTTTGGGCCCAGAGCCAGATGTTGGGAACCTCCCTCCTGTCAGCTCTGGAAACTCTTCTTCACTGGTTCTTGTCTCTGTCTCGTCTCTCAGGTACACAAAGGTCGGCTATGCTGGGAACACAGAGCCGCAGTTCATCATGCCGTCCTGTAAGCATCAAACTCACCTTTGTGTTTTCCTCTCGTGTGGACGCTGTGCTGAAGCAGAGAGGCCTGGAGGGGGTTATAGTAGAAGAAGAGAAGGCCGAGAGTGTCAGGAGAAAGAACTGCAGCCCTTTGTTAGCGGTAGCTCGCTGTTCTGTCACTGTAAACTACCCGTCCTTCATGAGTCTGTCAGTTCAGGGGGTGGGGATGAAGCAGTGGATAAGACACATGCCTTTGGTGTGGTCGACACGGGTTCAGTTCCCCACAGTGACATTCACCACTGTGTCCCTGTGCGAGACACTTAAGCCCTCGTTGCTCCAGAGGCGTGCAACCTCTGACATACTGTATAGAGCAATTGTAAGTCGCTTTGGATAAAAGCGTCAGCTAAATGTAAACCTCATTCATTTAGCCAGCGATAATAATTTCCTGATGAAGCTGACAACATGAAAATGAAGTGTAGATACAAACAGACAGACAGTGACCTTTGACCCCACACTGCTCTCCACACGAGCAGGGGGGTACTCATGTTCAAGTGTGTGTTCTGGGTCAGGTATCGCCATCAAGGAGTCGGCCAGCGTGGGAGAGCAGGCTCAGAGGAGGCTCGTACGAGGAGTCGACGATCTGGACTTCTACATCGGAGACGAAGCAGTAGACAAACCCAACTATGCAACCAAGGTAGGAGGTGGAGGAGGAGGAGCAGGAGGAGGTTCGTCCATCATTGGTGTTGAGTTCATGTGTTCCTGTTTTGTGTGTTCAGTGGCCCATCCGTCATGGGATGGTGGAGGACTGGGATCTGATGGAGAAGTTCATGGAGCAGATCATCTTCAAGTACCTCCGAGCCGAGCCTGAGGACCACAGCTTCCTCATGGTGGGTCTCTTCAGTAATGTTACCCGCGGTTTAACAGCAGCAGAGGTTAAACTGTTGACCTGAACTGTGTCTGATTTGATCAGGCAGCCACTAACAGAGCAGCATTTTCATTCCTTGTAGAGGTCCTCGTGCAGGTTTAGGGGTCCTAGGGGAGGTTGAAGAGGTCCTTGTGCAAATTGCAAGGGTTCTGGGGAGGTTGAAGAGGTCCCCATACAGGTTCCAGGTGTTCTGGGGAGGTTGAAGTGATCCTTGTGCAGGTACCAGGGGTCCTGGAGAGGTTGTAATGGTCCTTGTGCAGGTTTCAGGGGTCCTGGGGAGGTTGCAATGGTCCTCGTACAGGTTCCAGGTGTTCTAGGGAGGTTGTAATGGTCCTCGTGCAGGTTCCAGGTGTTCTAGGGAGGTTGCAATGGTCCTCGTACAGGTTTCAGGGGTCCTGAGGAGGTTGTAATGGTCCTTTTGCAGGTTTCAGGGGTCCTGGGGAGGTTGTAGTGGCCTTTGTACGTTGGTGGTCCGTCTCCTACGTAGTTACGTAGCCAAGATTGGCTGACGTTGAGGGTGAGAAGTGTCCAGCGTTCACACTCCGCTCTTTGACTGTAGTGAGTACACCATCTGGGTACCCACAGTGCATTCTGCCACACTTATGCACTCAGAGTAGTAAGGAAAGGGGCAAATCGAGACACAGCACTGGTCTATGTAAGGAAACTTGTGTGTGTGCAGACGGAGCCTCCTCTCAACACCCCAGAGAACAGAGAGTACCTGGCAGAGATCATGTTTGAGACCTTCAACATACCTGGACTCTACATCGCAGTACAGGTGAGACTCAGTCAGGTGAGAAACACAGACTCATCATATACAGCTGCATCATGGTGTCTCCCTCTATCAGGCCGTGTTGGCGTTGGCGGCGTCCTGGACGTCTCGGCAGGTTGGACAGAGAACTTTGACGGGCATCGTCATCGACAGCGGAGATGGAGTCACGCACGCCATCCCAGTGGTGAGACACGCACACTTTAATCTTTAGATCTCTATACACCGAGTTCACCTTTTTAAACTCTTCACTCAGCTCTCATCCCAAAACAAATGCAACCGTCAAAACACTAACAGGCCGGATCTTTACTGATACCTCCTTACTGCACGGACTGTGCTGCCTCGCAGTCGACAGGGATGAATCAGAAATGCTTTATGATGCGATATTGATTCTGCTTTTTGCTGAGAGAAACTCCAAGTACACAAAATGAAACAACACTGAACTACAGATTCACTACAGGATCACTACTGTACAGGAGAGCTGCAGGCGTAGAACCGTCTGTCCGCTCCAATCCACCTGGGACAGGAACTGTTTGATGTCAGATCCATCAGAGCATTAAAAACTGAACCCATAGATATATGTATTTTCTGCTCACTGATTGGTTGGCGTGGCTGTGCGTCACAGGCTGAGGGCTACGTGATTGGCAGCTGTATAAAACACATCCCCATCGCAGGGCGGGACATCACCTTCTTCATCCAGCAGCTGCTCAGAGACAGAGAGGTGGGGATTCCTCCAGAGCAGTCGCTGGAGACCGCCAAGGCCGTCAAGGTACCCTGGTCCTCCTCATCTACTCCTCTTCAACACTAATCCCAGATTCCTGATCCTTATTCCCTGGATTTCTGTGTACTTCTGTGTGTACTTCTGTGTGCAGGAGCGGTACTGTTACATCTGTCCGGACATTGTGAAGGAGTTCACAAAGTACGACTCTGACCCGGGGAAATGGATCAAACAGTACCGCGGCGTCAACGCCGTCAGTAAGAACGCCTTCCACATTGACGTGGGCTACGAGCGCTTCCTGGGTCCTGAGATCTTCTTCCACCCCGAGGTACCCTTACAGAGCTGTTTAGCTAGGACCAAGTACAGCTCACCTCTGGTATAATATTAATTCCAGTTACAGCAGTTTCATTACGATGTTCTCATCATTGTGATGAAAAAAGCTCCACACGGGGGTTAGTCTGTGACTTGTCAATAATCAGAACCATTCATGCTGAACCAGTTCAACATTTAGAAAGTTTGCTGTATCGCCTCCACCTTTTTATCATGTCCCGCCCCATCCAGGCTGTGATTGGTCAGTCCACGAAAAGTGACATTGATAAGCAACTTTATGCACACGTTTGGATAAAAAAGCACCTGATTTTCTTCCTACTCCGTCTCCACCGGTGGTCAGAAGAAAAGAGTAGTGGCAGCTTGTGCGAAGTGCCGGTACTCAAGAAATGTCCCGGTACGCCAAAGAGTAAAATGTAGAAGTGCCGGTACTGCGTAGTGGTGAGTACCGGCCCACTTCAAGTCTCTTGGCTGTTGCAGTGGTGCTGAGGGTAATGATTGAGCTGCAGTTTGACCAAAGTAGCTTGAAGGATGTGTAGGCCTAAAAAGGCAGATGAATGGTGGCGTGGGAGGAGGCGGGACCTAAAAAGAAAGATGAAAGCAATGCAAAAACACACAACTGTAGAAAGCATAAGCCACATCTTGAGGTCCCAAAAACAGGACATAAAGTCATCGTAATTTAGCCTCTCTTAGTTCATAGTTTTGGTTTTTTTTTTTCTTCAAACAAGCTGTAAAAACGTCACGTTGCTCTGTAGCTGCTGAAGGAGGAAATGATAATACAAAATTTTACTTTAAATATAAATGTGAGCTTATTGCAAAAAATGTCAAGTTCAAAGCAACGTTAGGAAAAGGCTGAAGGTCCTTTAGCTGTAAGCAGGAGGACAAAGAGGCGGTTAAAGGGTTTAAATTTAAACTGAAGTTCAGGTGAAGCTGAAGAGAAAGGTTCACAAAGGTTCATGCGTGTTTTTCAGTTCGCTAACCCAGACTTCATGCAGCCTATCTCTGATGTCGTCGATGATGTCATTCAGAGCTGTCCAATCGATGTGAGGCGACCCCTGTACAAGGTAACTCACCTGAGTGCGTTTCGTCAAAGCAAACCGCAGGTGTCTGATCCTGTTAACTGACGGTGTGTTTGTGTGTCAGAACATCGTGCTCTCCGGAGGATCCACCATGTTCAGAGACTTCGGGCGGCGACTGCAGAGAGACCTGAAGAGAGTCGTGGACGCCCGCCTGAAACTGAGCGAAGAACTCAGCGGAGGACGGATAAAGGTCTGAGAGTTTTAAAAAATTTAACACAGACATTAATTTCCTGGTAATCCCATTTACAAAACTGATGCTGCTATCAGCAAGACGATGGATTCATGCAATAAACAAAAGAGAAATGCTTCTGAAAAAACAAACATCTATGAGTCTAGTCAGCATCAGAACCAGGTCCTCTGACCCCTGACGCGGGTTGTTCTCGTTTCCAAGTGACTAATTTTAGAGGAATGATCTCTGAGCCCTGAATCCACATCTGCAGTCTAACCTAGAACACTGAGTAAAAAGATGGTGGATGGTTTCTGTCTGCAGGCAGTCTGCAGGATTAAGGTGCACCAGATACCTGTTAGTAGCTACGACCCCATACACAAACCACCACTGGAGGTCACATGTCCATTTTTCAACGGGGGGTTTGTTCAGGGATCGCCAGCAGATCAGAGACAGACCAAATGATCAACAAGCAAAAAGACAAATATACTGAATACTGGAGAGAAACGACCAAATCACAAAGTAAATTACATCTAAAGAGAATTCACAACTGACCTGAGCTCAATAACACGTCCTGAACTAAGAAAAGTGTTTTTTTTGTATTTTGTTTATATGTGAGTTTCTGCTTTGGCAACATTATTTACCTAAACATTCAAACCAATACAGGTTAATTGATTGGATTAGTTAATTGGTTATTTGAACTGAGTTGAACGGACAGTGAGTGACTCTCTGTGTTTGCAGCCGAAGCCGATGGAGGTTCAGGTCGTCTCTCATCACATGCAGCGCTACGCCGTCTGGTTTGGAGGCTCCATGTTGGCGTCCACGGTAACCACACACACATTTATACTTCTGTACTCTGGACACTCCCCCATGATCCCGACTTTAACCGAAACCTGATCCTGACTTTAACCATAAAACCAGATGTGAACCTCCAAACATCCCTTTGAGTTTCCTGAATTCACTGTTTTCAGGTATGAAGCTGAAATCAGTCAACAACAAAGATAAACACAGTTTGTTTGTTTGTCTGTTTGCGTTTCCAGCCGGAGTTTTTCCAGGTGTGTCACTCTAAGAAGGACTACGATGAGATCGGCCCCAGCATCTGTCGACACAACCCCGTGTTCGGCATCATGTCCTGATGGCAGCAGCAGCTACAGACGGCTAGCGTGTTGACCTGCTACGTTGTTAGCTTGTTAGCCTGCTCCCCATTAGATAGCCAGAAAGCTAGCCTGTTAGCTCCTTTTTTAAGATTGCTGGCCTGTTTACCTGCTATCGACTAGCCACCTGCCACTTAGCCATTAGCCTGTTAATCTCTTGCCCCATTCAGTTTTTAGCCCACTAGGCTACTAGACTGTCAGCAGGCTAGCTCAGTCTCACCAAGTACACAGACTGAAACACAAGAAACAGTTAAACCAATAAAATTTCCCCTCAGAGAACTTAATACTTGTACAAAACACAAGAGAACCTTTATCCAGAAACATATAAAGTTGTCCAGACCTTAAGATGAGGTCTAGCTAGCTGACAGTCTGCTAGCTGCTAGCTTGTTAGGCATCTTCAAACAGTGGAGAGTGGAGAAGACAGACTTGTTTGAGAGTCTTCTTTTCTCACAGCGATCGGCAGATCACAGATTCAGATCCAAAACATCTTCACCTTCGTCCAGAAAGACGTCTAATCCATTCATAACAAATCCAGTTCCAGTAAAGCTGCGAAGATACTGCCAAAGCCTCCACCAACAGTTCAGGGCCAGTGTGTTGGTCTGCTGCAAACGAACCTCTGAATGAAGGATGAAAGATTTCTTTAAGATTCATTAATTCAGAAGTTCTGTTGACACTAATCCTGTTTTTTCAAACTGTCAGTGATCGTCTCTTTGTTTTGTTTCCTCTTCACATCCCGTGTTTGTGTCCAGTTTAGATTTCATTCAGCTCCAAGCAAAGATAGTCTGATCACATGAAGTCTAAATTCAGATTGTTGTCACACCTCAAGCTCAGTGATGTCGTCTCTAAGCTAACGGCATTAACAGCAATGGCTGTTTCAGTTTGTAAAGCACTTCACCAAAGTGAAACATGCAGAAGTGAATATACCAATCGCAGCAATTCCTTTCATATGAACTGATTTCTGTCTGTACACGTCACGTTTTCTCCAGCGCCACCATCAAGACTAAATGTCCCTTTTCACCAGCACTTAAACAATCTGAAGAACTACTGCTATGAAACTGACCCAACACGTTCTCGTCCCAAGATTTGACAAAGCGTCTGTATTTGATGCAAAAGGTACCCTTCGGCGTCCGTAGGAAACGCCTTTTTAATACGTGGTTAGCGTTCGCAGTCCGGTTAGGTTCAGGCACCAGCACTTCTTGGCTAGGTCTAGAAAAAGATCATGTTTGGGTTGAAATAAGAACGTTACATTATGTAACTTACAACATCCAGTAACTCAGCTTTGGCTTTTGGTTTCAGACGGTGGACGGGCCAGACTGGAGCTACTTGAAGGCTCAGGGCGTCTCATACGGACGCTGAAGGGTACCCTGTGCGGGAGCATTGGTTTTATAAATAAATATAGGCTAAACACACAGCTAACTCTTCGACATAATATTAACTCTAGAGAAGAGAACTGGAGTTCCAACTACGATTATTGTCCAAATAGAAGTAAGACAAACAAAAAGTAACAGGAGTCGTTTTATTTTTTTACCTCAGAGACGCCAAAACTCAGTGAGCGAGTACAATTCACCTTCTTTAATTTGAATATCTTCATGTCGCTCAATAACTTTATTGTTTTGGTTACTTTAGACACGACAAACACAAACTCAGCATGAGGTGATGACCTGTAGTTTCAAACTGAAGGACTTAATCTGATACTGGATCAACCAAGCGGGAAGCTTCCGGTCAGCGAACGCGGAAGTACTTTAAACCTGCATTCTATCGAACGGCCAGCAGGGGGCGACTCTTCTGGTTTCAATAAGAAGTCCGCCTCCGTTAGAAATAATGGTAAAATGTTTCTACTTCTCAGCTGATTTATTCCCTCAGTAAACACTTTCCTGATGAGTCAATCAGGCTAGAGTGACTCGTACCCACGCCACTGTGTAAATTTAACCAGTGCCGTTGAAAAAGCTTCTTAGGAGTCGGCTGTTACATGTAGTACATTTAGTTTTAAGACTGTTGTTATCAGCCCTGTTAAGATGACAGTTAACGTGAATTACAGATGCACCTCGCTAAGCTAGCTAGCTAGCTCCGCACACGGCTGTTAGCTCCACTGTCTCGTCCAAATATGGTCACATCCGGTGCCGCTGGTTGCAAAAAATCAACATGGCAGCGACTTATCGGCCAAACTCGAGGCTTCAAAACGGCGGTCCACACACCAACGGGTGACGTCACCATGACTACGCCCACTTCTTCTATACAGGCTGTGGCATGAACAGCACAAACAAACCACAAACTGGTTTCTACTTCCTCTTTGTTCTCTGGGAGGTTTGATAAATGCTTAGTGACGGCAGCGAGCAGGTCAGCAGAGAGCTGCAGGTAGCTTCATGTGTTACTGTTGGTTTCTTTGTGTTTCTGTTTACTTCTCATGCAGCTCAGCTCATAAAGACACGTGTAGCTGCAGAAATATTGTATAAAAACTGCAGTTTGTTTTTAATTGACGTGAGATCGCGTGTTTCACAGCCTGTAACAAGCTGCTGCACTCAGAGTGTTTATATTTGTAAAGACAGATATTATAAAGTTAAATCCAGACAATACAAATACATAAACTGTAGATACTGTAGAGCCAATCAGCTCCAAGCCACAAACAGCACCGCCAGCTGGAGCGTGGTGCGTTCAGGTACAGTCAAAGTTACACTGTACACTAAACTGTTGATGCTCAGGTCCGTCTGATGTGCGTGTTGGACGCAAGCTGTTTCCATGGCAACGTGGTCCAATGAAAAGGAGCAGTATTTTGAGTGATGTGAGCAGGTCACCTGACCTGACCGTTCACACCTGTACCTTCACTTCCTGTCCACGTGCTCAGTAACTGGCTAATTCCAGTCCTACAGGTCCTACGACACGTATTGATTAGCGCAGCTGATCAGCTGTGATCGGAGCTGGCCTTGTGGTTTGGACCTGAGTCTCTGGCTGGAGGACGGCTGAGTGTAAAAAGACAGATGATTTAGTTTTATGAGGACGTCCAGGGAGATCAGCTGAACGTTTTGATCCTGAGCTCAATAAACTCCTTCAACCCCGACTTTCCCGTCTCTCCTGCTGGATCCTGTTATTATCAGACTGCAAGCTGAGAACATCTTTATTGGTTAAATATTAATAGTGTTTTCTCTTTAATGTAGCATCAGTTCAGATTCAGGAGGACCATTCTTTTGATTTTCCGTCCATCTATCACTTATCTATGCAGGGTTGTGGGACAATTTTAATTTAAAATGTTTTTTGCGAAATATTAAACAAAACAAAAATTCATCCTGCGATTTGAAAATTTCAGTGGGTCATATTATGAATTCAATAAGATTTAAATGAATTGTTCAGCCCTAATATATAGAATATATATGTTTTTACATCATTTAACACCTGCAACAAGGTGCATCTCCTGCAGCTAATGCTTCGCTCTCTAACGGAGATCTCATTGGTTTAAACTGCAGAAGAACATAATCTATTGGCAACTGGACCGCAGACGTGTTGGTGATACTCACAGTGAGCCTTTAATATCCATTTTAAGTTAAACTTTATGAATTCTGCTCTTATATTAGAACCAAAAACTTTAAATGGGGTTTAAAGCTGAAAGAAGAAGCTAAAGAACGAAGGAAAAGGTTCAGAAATACAGGTGCGTCCTGTAAAACTAGAATATCAAGAAAAAAGTTTAAAGTCAAAACGTGAAAGTTCTTCTGGATTCATATTAAGTGAAATATTTACTTTTTTATTTGTTTTAATCTTGATGATTTCAGCTCACAGCTCCTGGAAATCAAATAGTATTAAAGAAACGTCGACCTGAGCAAACCACGTTTCCTTCACTTGCGTCTTTTCCTCGCGTCTTAGTCCCGCCCACCGGGATGCAGGGAACCAGGGGCTGAGCCACAAACAGTGAAGCCGACCGACCCTGCACGGACGGTTCCATGTAGGCCCAAAAATGAAAACCCTGTGACATCCCGTCGCACACAGAAGATGCAACCGTATTGCTTAGATTATAAACTGTCAGCGAATCTAAAACAACTATTCTGCGTTGGTGTTCGGCAGGCGAGCCTCGTAGTTGGGCTGATTAATCAGACGGCGGCAGCTGATCACAGCTGGGGCCACTTCAGCGCAGACAAAACGGAGCAAAACGTTTTTCTTTCAACAGAAACGGTGGTCCCCTGAACACCCTGCTCTGTACGCAAGCGCACTGCATTTTCCTGGCTTTTTAACACCGTTGTGTTTACAAACTCGTTGCAGTTGATTGGGTGACACCTGAGACACGCCCACCAAACAGGAGAAAACACACCTGAAGCCCGTTGCAGAACGTTGCGCAACGTTTCAAGGAAACATGCCGTTCAATCTGAAAACGTTGCAAACCGCTGCAAAACGTTTTGAGGTTGAACTCTCCCCCGATCAGCTGTCAGTCGGCTCTCTAGAGATTTGATGGAGTTTGTCTTTTTCATCATTACAAAAAGATATTAATGACAGAAATGATCATTATGAAATAAACTTCCTGTCTGTCCTGACAGCAGCTCACCTCAGCCTGCATGGAAGTCACACTATATTAAAATGATCCAGTTTGATACGTTCATTTAGATTGAATTATGAAGGGCAGTTTATTAGAGAAGCAAATAGTGAACTGCATCCTGCATGCAGACTTGCATGTACAAATCACCAGCAGTAAATATTGAACTACAAGAAGCCGGACACTTGCAAGCCTTTACTTAGTTATGTAAAGCTTTTGATTGGACAGTTAAGTCCTGGAGATGTAGTGACAACAGCTGCTCATGGGGCCCCAAATTCCAGGTTTCTGTCCCGCTCAGAGGATCTTTTCTACTGGCACAATACTCACATTATCTGCATTTATATTTATTATGTATGTATCAATTATGTTATTGAATAACCCAGAATATGATGTCTTGGGATTTATCAGGCGAAAGGTTTAAGAGAAATTGAAATGAAGTCGATACTCAGTTTTAGGCTTTCGGCCCATAACTCTTTTCAGTGATGCACTTGAGTTTAATGTTTCTGTCATGATGCATCACATAAGGGCTTCCCAGTAAGGGGGCGTGTCGGCCAGTAAAAGACTTCCGCGAAGGATGCACTGGTGTTTCCTCGCTCCTCGGAGAGCAAATAAGAACGGCCTGCAAGATGGTGGAGCGGAACAACTTCCGGTTCAAGCCATGAAACGACAAGTAAGAGAGTTGAGAAGCAGCCTCTGTCCTAAATAAGTGCGTCTGTCAGGAGGAGGCTGCAGATTAGTGACGTGATGTTGCTCCTCCGGGCCGCTGGGGGCAGCAGCGCCGCAGCTTCACTCTGCAGAATCAGTGCCGAGCTGCTCGAGCCAGCAGAGAAACTTCTGATGAGAAGATTCACAAACACACTCTAACTTTTAAACTCTTGCGTGAACCGGTGTGAACATGTGGTCGGAGCGCACGTGAGCTCCGTTTGCGCATCTGAAAACATCGCGATGTTTCCGGTAAGTGTTAATTTACTAACGCGACTGATCTCAGGAGACTTTCGGTGCATCAAACCGTCCGTGTGGCCCTTTACTGCAGGACTCCTGCTGCTTCACCCGAGAACTGCAGCGCTGGGTCTAATTATTAGCCAGTAAATAAAAGAAAACGTTTCCATTCTGCAGAGGAGCAAAACCAACACATACAATTAGACTATGACTAATTTAAAAAATATATGTTTGTCACAGTAACTAATAAAAGTCCGTGTGTGCACAGGACACACCTGGAACAGCTGGAACAGGTGCAGCGGCGCCGGGAGAGGCGCTCACATTACTGAAAGGAAGTCTGAGAACCAGACAGTTCTGTTTCTGACCCGGATGGACAACTCATCAGTTTCAGAGGCAGTTTGCAGATATTAGGGGTCCCACACAGAACTAATGTCAGGTCGGGTTTATCTAAAATAAAATGCATCAGCCTGTGCATCACCTGGGTCTGTGTGGCCTGCTGAAGACGTCTGGACCGGGTCTGTGCTGTACCTGGCTTATGATCCAGCATCTTCTCTACTGACAGATTTAAGCATATCAACACTTGATACACAGATATGAATGTTGCATCAGGCCCGTTCACACTGGCTCCCCCAGGTTTCCTTTCACATTTTCAAAGCTAAAATATTATTTATACTAGGGCTGGGCGGTACGGCCAAAATGTTACCACGATAACAAATTTCATTTGATCTGGATAAAAGTCAAATCATCGAGTTTAAAGGCTGATTTCTTTCTGGTCAGAACAAAAAACAGTGGATCACTTAACAAATCTGAGGAAGAACATTCACAGCTATTGTCATTAAATCTGTTTTTTTTTTTGTGTCCAGCTCTTATTTATCCTATGACCTGACGCAATAAATGATGTTTATTATTTACTGAGAGATCATCAGATGTGCGTCCATGTTGCTCAGTCTGTGCTGCACATCAACATTTTAATAGTCAATGTCAATCCACTGCTTTCTTGCAACAGTGCAGAGTTGTAACTAAACCAGCTAATCACTGTCTTGTTTGTCTGGACCGGTCGCACTAATGCTGGAATGCAATAAGGTTCTTTTATATATGACTCTTCTCCTGAAATGCGCCAGTTTCATTTCACAAGTTCACCTGACTGCTGTTCCTAAAGTCACCCTAAAGTTATTTTCTCTGCTTGTGCGCAGCAGGATAGTCCCTCTTCATCCTCTCATCTCCGTTATAAACACTGACTCGTTTGTTGCCACGTTTCATATGGTTAACTAGCTCACGGACCGCTTCACATTAACCAGGAGTTTACTTTGAAAGTCTAACCGGACGTTGCAGATGCAGCCAATTGTTGCTAACTTGACCGCAGAGCCCTACAGCTCCAAAAACGACGCCAAGGGGACTTGACCATTTCACTGGGGCGCCGCACATGGAGACAGGGGCACGGGCGCCAGTAAAAGGGTCTAGTCTATGGACTGAAAAAAGATTTGACTTCATTTTCCTCCTTGAACTGCGATTGGTCGGCTTGTTATCAGCGCATTTCCTCTGAGCTCCCAGAAAGCGCTCCGTGCTTTGAAGCCAGTTTCGCCAGTAGCTGCAACACGGGGGAAACTTTATTTTGAGCGTCACAACCCCGCGACTCGTTTCACTGTCAGAGTTTGATCAACAAAAACACACTCAGGAGGAACTGAAACTCGTCTCTGGAGCATCATTTAATATGTGCAGCTGTGTGAAGGTTATAAAATTGACGGTGAAGGTGACCTGGAGTTCAGGTGAGGTCCTGACTGTGTTTGTCTCGTCCCTCTGCAGGTTGTTCAGGTGATCCAGGAGAGGAGGAGAGGAGGAGGGAGGTGGGCTGCCAGTGGGAGAGTCCAGAGGAGGAGAGGAGGGAGGTGGGCTGCCAGAGCGAGTCAGCAGAGAGGAGAGACGCCGCCGTCCAGGTGGACCTGCTGAGCCAGCAGCTCAGCTGGAGACACTCAGGTGAGACGCTCCTGAACGCACCGCTGTCAGCTGACCACAATCTGTCAGTAAGAAATACTCACCTGTCTGTGTGTCCAGGTGTGTGCGGCGTGGCCTGGCAGTGTGTCTCTGTCAGAGCGGATGAACCAGGAGGGGGCGCTCTGCTGCAGCACTGCAGCTCACACAGGCCGGACGCTCACCACGGCGCCCCCCTCTACCTGCTCTGCTCCCACCACGGACACACGCCGCTACCCACAATGCCTCAGTACGGACCACCTGCGCCTCCGGACCTCCTACAGACCGCCTCGCCACCCAGCATGCCTCTGTGCGGCGTGTCCCCCAGTGCAGGCAGCTGTGAAGCTCCTCCCCCTGGACTCATCGCTCCTCTGAGCGAGGAGGATGAGGAGGAGGAGGAAGGCTCGTTCAAACATGAGAAGAGTGAGTTGCTGAGCTCTAGTCACTATCAGGGACACCGTCACGCTCTGAAAGGGGACACGTGTCTTTGTTCCCAGAGTGACGGCGTTCCCTCATAATTTCTTCTTCTCTGTTCACTCTTTCTGCAGATGAGCGTCTCCGTGGTAACAGACGGCCCACAATAACGACGGACGGGCAGAAGAAGAAGAGGAGGACCAAACACATCGCAGGAAGAGTCCAGCCCAGGAGGAAGAGTCCCGGCAGCACCGCCCGCCGACAGAGGGAGATGGACGATAAATCGCAGCCTGACCGTCGTCAGGCTGTCGTCCAATCAGAAGGCATACCTTCAAAAGGCAACCGCAAGACGCAACGAGGAGAGACACGAATCCAACGCACCCAGAAAATGATTGTGAAGAAGAAGAAGGAGGAAGGAGGAAAGAAGGGGAGGTGTAAGCAGGAGCAGAGGGAGGACGAGTCAACGGTGGAGGAACGAGTCAGACCTGTGAAGAGGGACGTGGCGGTTAGGCCGAGGAGGAAGGCGGTCGGTCCACCCATCAGATACCTCATCGAGTTCGAGGAGCGGTCACGTGGCCCGTTGGCGACCAATCACAGCAAAGCAATGGGAGCCAAAGCTGAAAGGAAGCTGAGGTTGGAGCATCAAGAGGACGAGGAGACGAGAGATGGGGTGGAGCGAACAGAGCCGACAGACAGCAGCAGGGTGGAGTCCCCTCAGGACGGAGGAGGCGGAGGGTGGCAGCTCTGTCAGGTGGGTCCTCATCTATATACACTCAATACACTATGTTTCACAGAATGGATCATACAGGATTTAAATGTTTAGTTTCCTGTTCGATAGTCGTATTTAATGAAGGCTGAATGACTCCAGGCCACTGGTTCCCAGAATACCTGGGGTCACACAGTGAAAACTGTTTTTTTCCTGAAACCTTTTAGGAAACGTCACCACATGATAAGACACTTCCGCCCAAATGTTGGGTGTTTCAGCTGAATGTTTCTTACCTGAATCCAATTGTTTATGTTGGGTCTGACCTGGATTACTGTGTCAAGTCTGAGCAATTTTTTAGCCAAATACTAATATACTTAAAGTTCAACTTTCTCCATTCATAGACAGTTTGTCTTACTGTGGACTGATGGACATCCAGGCTTTTAGAGATACTTCTGTAACCCTCCAGCTTCATGCAAGTCAACAACTCTTAATCTTAGAGCTATTTGGGTCGAAGCATGGTTCACATCAGGCAATGCTTTAAGTTTTATAGGGCAGGGCAGAGATGCTCTCAAGTCTTTGAGCCAGAGTCCAAGTCAAGTCTTAAGTCTCTCGTGGTTATAAAACTGCATAGCTGTAAGGGATTCTGTAACTGTAACCTGTTTTTCACTTACAGAGCACAACCTTGTGATGTACAGTGACATTAATGACATCTTATTAACTACTGTCAACACACTACCAGACTCTCAAACCAGTAACCTGTTTGCTGCCGACGTTAATAATTAACATGATGGCAGCCAGAGGGACGTAAATGATTATGTTAATCGACTACCACAAGTTTGGCAAGTAAACAAACGCTCATTCATCTTTTCACAACATACAACAGTCGGAGTTAACCTCCCGTAGGTCGTAGCTAAAGCAAGAAGCAAGCTAACGTTAGATGGCCAATGCTGAGCTAAACATGTTTACTAACCTCAGGTTATTAACCTATTTGCGTTCAGCGCTTCTTTGTTTGGGTCTTGTTGTAGGAAGTTTTAAAGCCAAAGTTTATGATGAATGGCTCAGCAGCTGCCGTTGTTTGTTGTCCTCTCCCACGTGTGGCCGCGCGCAGCAGATACTAGGCCTACATATAACATAAAACATATAATCGTTTGTGTGGATGATGTGGTCCTGATGGCATCATTGGTCCGTAACCTTCAGCTCTCACTGGATCGGTTCACAGCAGAGTCCGAAGCGGTTGGGATGAGGGTTAGCACCTCTAAATCTGTGGCCATGGTTCTGAGCAGGAAAGTGGTGGAGTGCCAACTCCAGGTAGAAAATGAGTCGTTACCCCAAGTGAAGGAGTTCAAGTACCTCGGGGTCTTGTTCACGATCTACCGGTCGATTTTTGCTCCTACCCTCACCTATGGTCATGAAGGCTGGGTCATGACCGAAAGAACGAGATCATGGGTACAAGCGGCCGAAAATGGTTTCCTCAGGCGGGTGGCTGGTGTCTCCCTTAGAGATAGGGTGAGAAGCTCGGCCATCCGCGGGGAGCTCAGAGTAGAGCCGCTGCTCCTTTGCGTTGAAAGGAGCCAGTTGAGGTGGTTTGGGCATCTGGTAAGGATGCCTCCTGGACGCGTCCCTAGGGAGGTGTTCCAGGCACGTCCAGCTGGGAGGAGGCCTCGGGGAAGACCCAGGACTAGGTGGAGAGATTATATCTCCACACTGGCCTGGGAGCGCCTTGGGATCCTCCAGTCAGAGCTGGTTAATGTGGCTCGGGAAAGAGAAGTTTGGGGTCCCCTGCTGGAGCTGCTGCCCCCGCGACCCGACCCCGGATAAGCGGATGAAGTGGATGGTGGTAGTAGTTTCAGCAGACAGTAGATGTGTTTCCATATACGTTTTTTTAATGCACATTTTGAAGTATCTCATCAAAAAGGATGATGGAAACAGCAAAATTCCAAAAAGGTTTTTACGCTCGCTTGAGGTTGATTTTTGTCGAAAAAGAGTAAATGCGCTAAATGGGAGATGCAAACACTTTTACCAACTAAGTTCTGACGTAAAGAACTTGTAACTACGCTTGCTGTAGCCTGGTTTATTAGCTCCAAACAAGCTGATGGAAACACTTATTTAGCATTTTTTGTGACATTTCAAAACTACGCTTAAAATTGGCATGACAATTATATTGAAACATGGCTTGTGTTCATCTATTTTTGTGACTTAGATGAAGATCAGATCACATTTTATGACAAATTTATGCAGAAATTCAATTCTAAAGGGTTCACATACTTTTTCCTGCGACTGTAAAGTGAGACTTAAAGCATAATAAACCCTAAAACACATTAATACATCATGTATAGTGTTTTTAAAGCATACATAGAAAGAGTGGTGAAAAGAATGTGAAACAAAAGTGGCTTATAATGCTATATAAACACTGAACAAAATCTGTGTTAGTGAGCACTTCTCCTTTGTCGAGATAATCCATCCACCTCACAGGTGTGGCAGATCAAGATGCTGATCAAATAGCATGGGTATTGCACAGGTGTGCCTTAGGCTGGCCACAATAAAAGGCCATCACACAGCACAATGCAACAGATGTTGCCATTTTGAGGGAGCGTGCAATTGGCATGCTGACTGCAGGAATGTCCACCAGAGCAGTTGCCCGTGAATTGTATGTTCTTAACTCTACCATAAGCCGTCTCCAAAGGTGTTTCAGAGAATTTGGCAGTACATCCAACCGGCCTCACAACCGCAGACCACGTGTCACCACACCAGCACAGGACCTCCCCATCAAGCACTTCACCTCCAAGACCGTCTGAGACCAGCCACCCGGACGGCTGCTGCAACAATTTGTTTGAATTTCTGTACAAACTGCCAGGAACCATCTCAGGGAAGCTCATCTGCATGCTCGCAAGGCCATTGAAGAGGAGTGAACCAACATTCCACAGACCACAATCAACAACCTGATCAACTCTATGTGAAGGAGATGTGTTGCACTGCATGAGGCAAATGATGGTCATATCAAATACTGACTTGTTTCCGGTTCCCCCCAATACAGTGTACTTGCACATTTTCAAGTGGCCTTTTATTGTGGCCAGCCTAAGGCACACCTGTGCAGTCCCCATGCTGATATGCCACACCTGTGAAGTGGATGGATTCTCAGCAAAGGACAAGTGCTCACTAACACAGATTTTGACAGATTTGTGAACAATATTTGAGAGAAATAAGCCTTTTGTGCACAGAAAGTCTTAGATCTTTGAGTTCAGCTCATGATGAATGGAGGCAAAAACAAAATTGTTACGTTTATAATGTTCAGTATCATAATATCATACTGTAATTTAAAACATACACACACCCCAGTTTGTACTGTTGAAGCATACCTGAAGGTAACAAATAACACTAGTACACATACGAAGTGAACACGTCAGCCACGGTGGGCGCCATGATGGTAGAAATGTCAACAGGTAACCTAATAATTCAGCTATGTTTAATGTTACATCTTTTTCTGAACCACGTTTTGAGAACTGAGTCGATGTGATTTCTGTGTTCCTGCAGGCGCCTAATTTGAAATCAGTAAGTAGTATTGGCTTCTACTCACCTGCGATAACACTGTGTCACTCTGTCTGTACTCAGGTGTGTGGTCTGACCTTTACCTGTCGGTCGGCGCTGCAGCTCCACCTGTCTGTCCACAGAGCAGGACGCCACCTCAGCTGCCAACCCTGCAACAAGAAGTTCAGCTGCGCCAGCACCCTGCATCTGCACCATCGCCGCCATCACCATGAAGGTTGGGCGGCATCCGGTTGCACCCGAGCAGCTGATGACAAACAGGAAGATGAGGTCCTTCCACGTCCCAGCAAGGCTCATGATTGGTCAAGATGCAGAAAGCGTGCGCGAAGAAATCCCTGGTGGTGGGTCGACTACCAGACCACCATAAGGAGGAGACAGCAGGAGCGAGATGGAGCAAGGGGGAGGAAGAGGTGTAGAGAAGAGGTGGAGGTGGTGAAACGAGTCTGTCTGAAGGAGGAGGGAGGAGGAGAGGAAGGACAAGTAAAGGAGAACAAGGTGGAGGTGACACAAGTCTGTCTGAAGGAGGAGGAGGAGGAGGGATGGACAAAAGGAGGTGGTGGAGCAACCTCAGAGGCTGAGGAGGATGATGGTAGGCCCACCAATCAGATATCTCCTGGAGTCAGAGGGACAGTCACATGGTCCAGGAACAGCCAATCAGGACAGAGGGTGGGAATTTAAACATGGAAATAAACCACAGAACAAGAGCGAAGCTGGGGGCGGAGCTTCAAATGACGCGTCAATGATTGACAGGTCTGAGGAAACAGTACAGACAGACAGGCAGGCAGGTCGGACCAATCAGGACACAGCGAACAGAAACAAACAAAGAGGAAGACCAAAAAAGGTCAAGTTTGACAGTGAGGCTGGGGGCGGGGCTTCAGAGGTGGCTGAAAGGTCAGGGGCTGCAGAGAGACAGATGGGTCAGACGGTCTCAGAGACACAGACGGGTCAGACAGTCACAGAAAGACAGACGGGTCAGACGGTCACAATGACACAGACGGGTCAGACGGTGTCAGAGACACATACGGGTCAGATGGTCACAATGACACAGACGGGTCAGACGGTCTCAGAGACACAGACGGGTCAGACGGTGTCAGAGACACAGACGGGTCAGACGGTGTCGGAGACACAGACGGGTCAGATGGTCTCAGAGACACAGACGGGTCAGACTGTCTCAGAGACACAGACGGGTCAGACGGTGTCAGTGACACAGACGGTCGCAGAGACACAGACGGGTCAGACAGTCACAGAAAGACAGACGGGTCAGACGGTCACAATGACACAGACAGGTCAGATGATGTCAGAGACACAGACAGGTCAGACAGTCACAATGACACAGACAGGTCAGATGGTGTCAGAGACACAGACGGGTCAGACGGTCACAATGACACAGACAGGTCAGACGGTGTCAGAGACACAGACGGGTCAGACGGTCACAATGACACAGACGGTCTCAGAGACACAGACGGTCTCAGAGACACAGACGGGTCAGATGGTCTCAGAGACACAGACGGTCACAATGACACAGACGGGTCAGACGGTCTCAGAGACACAGACGGTCTCAGAGACACAGACGGGTCAGACGGTCTCAGTGACACAGACGGTTGCAGAGACGGCACTGCAGTTTCAGCTGTCCGTCCACAGAGCAGGACGCCGCCTCAGCTGCCAACCCTGCAACAAGAAGTTCAGCTGCGTCAACACCCTGCGTCTGCACCATCGCCGCCATCACCACCTGGATGCAGGTGGTCATCATGAAGGTGGGGCGGCGTCCAGCAGTGCCCAAGCTGCTGATGAGAAACAGGAAGAAGAGGTCCTTCCACGTCCCACCAAGGCTCATGATTGGTCAAGATGCAGAAAGCGTGCGCGAAGAAATCCCTGGTGGTGGGTCGACTACCAGACCACCATAAGGAGAACACAGCAGGAGCGAGATGGAGCAAGGGGGAGGAAGAGGTGTAGAGAAGAGGTGGAGGTGGTGAAACGAGTCTGTCTGAAGGAGGAGGGAGGAGGAGAGGATGGACAAAAGGAGGTGGTGGAGCAACCTCAGAGGCTGAGGAGGATGATGGTAGGCCCACCAATCAGATATCTCCTGGAGTCAGAGGGACAGTCACATGGTCCAGGAACAGCCAATCAGGACAGGGGGTGGGAATTTAAACATGGAAATAAACCAAAGAACAAGAGCGAAGCTGGGGGCGGAGCTTCAAATGACGCGTCAATGATTGACAGGTCTGAGGAAACAGTACAGACAGACAGGCAGGCAGGTCGGACCAATCAGGACACAGCGAACAGAAACAAACAAAGAGGAAAACCAAAAAAGGTCAAGTTTGACAGTGAGGCTGGGGGCGGGGCTTCAGAGGTGGCTGAAAGGTCAGGGGCTGCAGAGAGACAGATGGGTCAGACGGTCTCAGAGACACAGACGGGTCAGACAGTCACAGAAAGACAGACGGGTCAGACGGTCTCAGAGAGACAGATGGGTCAGACAGTCACAGAAAGACAGACGGGTCAGACGGTCTCAGAGACACAGACGGGTCAGATGGTCTCAGAGAGTCAGAGGGTATCCAACACACAGATAGGTTCGCACAGACGGGACTACCTGGTATACAGAGACCTGCAGAGCGGTCAGGTGACCATCATCTCCCCCTGCTGTGTCAGACTGCAGCGTCTCCTCTGATTGGCAAGACAGGAAATGTTTGTTTGAATGTGAAGAGTTAAATGTTTGTTATATGAGGTTCTTTCTATGTTCTGAAAGTGAAGTTAGAAACATAGAAATATTTTGTACAAGAGGTCAGGTGTGTAGTTTTTATCTTGTTTCATCAGTTTTTTTTATCATATGTATATTTATATGTGTTTGTACTGTATCTCTCTTAACTGTTGATATGTTCATTACTGGATTGTCTGTCAGATTAGAGCTCCTGCTCCTCATCTATTGTTGGGTTTTATGAAGTTACTCTAATGTTGGGGAAGAATCAGCCGACAGAGAGACACTACAATGATTTATGCCAGGACTTTTATTCTGATAATCTATTCAACTGCACAAACAGACGTTTATTGTAAAAAT